TAACAATTGGGGCTTTATGGAGCACAAACCAAGATGACGGCGATGTAGATAACATGGTCTGAGCAAATTGTTATAGAGACCCATCGTTTCGTTAAGGCGACGGGACACAAAAGGGTATATAGTCTATAAAATTTATGGCAAATGAAATTATTAACCGAGAAACCAAAAGTGAGGTGCAGTAGCCAGCTTGGCCGTCGACCCAAACCCCGCACTAAGAGCGATCCTACGAAGGTGATTACACGGCTTGAACTTTCCAGTAACCACACTGAGTACCCAGTTCGGCCTCTCCAAATGGTTCATTCTCTGTACCGGTGAGTACTTCCGTTTGTCTAGCTAGGCTGGGGATCTGCTTCTAACGACTTTTGTAGCCTTTACATAAGATGGGTGATAAATGAAACGGGATAATTATAAAGAGTCGAAGGTAACAGCTATCAAATTACTGATAAAAATAAACTCAATTGTTAGAATTCATCCTGGTCAAATAACGAATTATGAAGTCTTCATAGTGCCACATCGTCGCCGATAGCTCTCTCGCGCTATTATTTTGACTTCTGAATTTCAGAATAGGACGGTCACTCGGGGTCGGAACATGCTAGTCATACACTAAACAGGGGACTAAGAATTATTTACAGCATGTTTAGGAAATGTTGACGGATTTAATGGTAAAATGGTAGGCGAATATTTAGAATATATATAAGTAAAAGTTGATTCTTCCTACTTTTATTGCAATAGATTGGGATTCGGCATGTTGCTAATGCTACAGGATCTCCACCAAATTGCCTAGGAACTGCATGATTGTTTGATACCACGACACCTATTTTAATGCTTCTGTTTTACAAAGAATTTTTTCTTTCTTTGAATTAGACAACTTTTGGGAAATAAAATCAAGGCTGATATAATTGAACGCTAAAATAATAATCATCATCAGCATAATCACATCGTTTACTTTAGACTAACTTAGCATCAAACTCACCGTCTGTAAGAAATCCACAAGTTTTGAACCTAATAACGTCTAATTGAGATGGTAGCAAAAAATCATTGTTAACCGCTAAATACCCTATCGATGTCTCCTAACTGTGCGTAGTATCCTACTGTACTAGTGTACTTCAATCTCTTTCAGCCATTGGTTAATATTTCGCATAATCATACTCCCAACTTAATATCCTTCCGTATTAAACTACCTACACTCCTGACATCTAATTTTGGGTACATTAGAGGTGGTAATTTACCAGTTCTGGGGATATTATTATACGAGATCAAGATCACAGAGTAATCTCTTTGTCTCAGAAGGACGGTAGTATCCATTTAATGCTATTTTTGACAATATGTGTGCGCAATTAACACTGAACCGTATCTTATTCAAAGGGTTACAGCATTTATACTATTTCAATACAACAACATTAAGCTAAATCTGAAATGAATATAAATACCTGACTACGATACAGTGGCGGTCTAGTTTTATATTGATTTCATCAGAAGTACTCCAAGAATAATTAGTGGGAGTTAGCAAATGAAGTAGAATAGAAACCAAAGTTTCAATTAATATCTCGTAGCGACTGTCCATACGACGACCGAAACTTGAAACCGGATTCAATTTGAACAAGTTAAAACAATTTCAGTAAATTTATTTTTGGTATACTTTGATCCAATACCTTTTCCATTCACCGGAGAAAACGCTCTCTGCTGCTGTTGCTGAATAGCGGAGAGCCAGGCATTTTGCTGGTGTTGATCAGCGCTGCATGTCGGCAACATGACAAGGAATCCACCACTGCCCCCCGATGTAGGAGCAACACCCGTTGTCGTTGACCCAGATATAGTCCCCACTCGGCTTCCATTCGCCCCTCGAGGAACCACAAGCATCACTCGCTGCGGGTAACGCAGAGAACCTCCAGTGACCGCAGCAGCTGGTATCTGGACAAATGACTGTACCGTCGAATCGTCCAGAGTTCCAGCTAGTGGGAGGCTCCTGGCTGAAGGCTGTTGCTGTTGGCCACCGGCAGTGGATGGTTGACTAACCCCGTGGTGGTGATGATTACCAGCCTCACAGGAAGCTGGAAGACTCTGTTGGGAGGGATTATTTGTGACTTTATCGTCGCCGAGAGATTTATGCACTCGACTTGTGGAAGAGGATGTTGTTCTGAAATGAGCAAATAACGGCCACAATGGCCTTAGCAGTGCATGTATGGGAGGATAAAATAGGAAAATAATCATAATTTTTGCTTCTAAGATCAACATAAATTAAGGAAAAAGAGAAACGGATAATTTTAGATGCATTCTTGTATAGCAAGAAGAGTAGGTGAAACATCCTAAACAAAGGCGGCAAACTGTTACTGTTTGCATGTGTGGAATTGGTCACATTTCGAAGTTATAGGGGTATAGATTTGAATTTCAAAGCAAATTAGTAACCTCCTTGGTGGAGACGATGAAAAGCTAATAATAACTAAAAACAGAGTTGGAGATTTTTCGATAATTTTGAGAAACCCAGACATGAGGTGTGATAAGCCAATTTTCAACCTAGATTAAGTAAATACGAAATGTAGTTCAGATCTGACCAAACCGCTTTATGGCGATGAAAAACCATTGAATGAGATATGAAGAACAATCAACCGAGTTGACACTTGTTATAAGATAAAGTAAACTTCGGATTATTATTCAAGGGTTTAAATAGCAAAGGTAACAGATGAAGATAAAAGGTGTATGACTTACGCATTTTTTGAAGACTTGCTAGATTTACCACCGGATTTGGCAGTCTGACACCTGAAGAAGGCATGATGTTCAATGCATTGTTTCCAAAAACTTTTGCACTCATTTCTTGACTCGAAGAAGAACTCCACTGCGTCCTATAGGTTAAGGAAGTGGTTAGTTTTCACGCTTGCTCAGTTAAGTGTAACGAATGCGTGGCTTTTCTAAGGGTTGCAATTGTACCAGGTCAACCAATTTGATTGACATGACATAAACTAGAATCCGGATAACTGTATTGTTTGAAATAAACAAGAGTATTTGAGATTTAATATTTACTTATTCGAAAACATTAAAATGAAGATAAAGGTGGTTGGATAATCAGTCGTTTATTAAATCTTGCCTTCCCTCTCTCATTCCGAAAGTAGGATTAGGGGAGACATTGGAAAAACTGCCCGAATGGAAACGTAAGCTAAATTCAAATTCTAAAATTCAAAATGGTGGCTGTTCTAACCATGGCAAAGATGTGAATAAAGAGAACGGGGGGGGGGGAGACTAGTCCATTAAGATAAAAAGGGGAGTGGATTAATAAGAAGCAAATAAAGAAAGCCGGAAGACAAGAGTCTTACTTTACTTACATCGAATTGTCTACTTTCCCACATGAATGTAGCCGACCAAATATGCCAGCTCTTGCCTAACTCCCTTGTTCATGGCTGAAATCATATCAATGACCTTTGAAAGCTTATTGACTGGTTGACTTAAGTCCATAGCTAGCTATGCTACCTCAATATAGTTGGCTCTTATTACAATGAAGATAGTACACGCTGGAAGGTAGTAACGGTGTACTTTCACATGACAGGACGCTTTGAAATGCACTCCAATAATGGTTATAACTTATCTACAATGAATGCACAACCGATATTTTTCGCCTAAATGCAGGCTTGGAACTTTCCACTTGCAGTATAAGGAACTCAAAGAAGCTAATAAATCAGAAAATATCAGTAAAAATACCTGATGATTATATCTTATGGTTATACTTGCAATAGATATCTGGTGACTCACGTAGCCTTCGGGATGAAGTTTGATAAGAAATTTCTTTCGTTTGAAGCTCAGTTTGCGAATTCGTGCCCATGAGAATGTGTTCACCTTCAAAACGCCTTGGAAGACAAATAATCCCGCGTGGGAGACGGCCAGATTCAAAGGTGATCCATCAGCACTCTGAAGTCAGAGCAACAGAAAGTCAGCCTAATTGAAACATGAAAAACTGACTGTATTGTTTACTTCACTTTTTCTACTTCATTAAAGAGAGGGAAGCTTTGAATGGATCGATCAGAATATATTAGAAGAAGTAGTGCAAGCAATACCATACCTAATTTACTCAGGTTATTGCTATCAGTTTCCATCATTCATAGCTAGTCGTGATACTTCCGCTAAGCTTCGGTCCACTTCGTCTACTGCTACCTAACTCCAAGGTGGGCGATTCGAATATTTCAAATGACTTTAGAACTTGCTTTTGGGCCACATGTTTAATAAAAAATAATTTTACGTTCAATTATAGATTTTCATTCGTTTACGATTTGAGTTGACTGAGTTAATCCGTTTAGTCCAACAGATTTATTCTCAAGTTCACTCTATGCCTCAATATTCGTTTTCCAGTACTTTCTGATCTATCGAAATTCAATTTGTGAAAGATTGTTGTATACTGTTTGTAATGAAGAAAAAGTGTGGTTTCGAGACGGAACATCTTTGCGCACTAATGTCCAACTCCTACAAATCTGATGAATCTAGCCACATAAGAAGTATTATTAAGTAGTATGAAAGGTTAGTGAAGTCAGAAAACATCTCTACTGGTGATGACTGGTTCGGATAATGATTCCCAGTTTCATTGTGAGCGTTTAACGTTTCGAAAATAGCTAACCAAGAGAATATATAAACACATATACTGAGGGTAATATTCACTGTGGGATAGACTTACCTCCTCGTGGTGCACCCTGGGCAATGTATGATCATACGGCAAAAAAGTCTATTAACAGGCAGTTGACTTCTCACTTCAAACTACCATCAACCCGCTGTATGTCATATTCGATCCATACCACAGTACTCATCTTACCCTTTCTGAGCCTTGGTGTCTGTCTGTTTCTTTTACATCTGTGAATCACTCTTCTGTTCTTCCTCTCGAATTCTTCTCATTTTGATGTTCCTCCCCCCCC